ATATAAATCGCTTTGAATTTTTATGTAGTTTTTATTATTATTATTACAATATTATAAATTATAATGGAATTAAATTATACGAAATTGAATTTTAATGGGTAATTTTACAATTATATTAAATATTAAGTATACTCTGTAAAAATCACAGTCAGAAAATTTCAAAATAAAACTTTTGATTTTATATATAAAATTAATATAAATCGCTTATAATTTTTATGTAGTTGTTATTATTATTATTACAATATTATAAATTATAATGGAATTAAATTATACAAAATTGAATTTTAATGGGTAATTTTACAATTATATTAAATATTAAGTATATTCTGTAAAAATCACAGTCAGAAAATTTCAAAATAAAACTTTTGATTTTATATATAAAATTAATATAAATCGCTTTGACTTTCTATAGTTTTTTTAAAAAATAATTTGAAAAAAAAATTATCAAACACATATATTGTAAAGTGCTATATGATTATAAAAAACAGTTTTTAATCCCAATCCCAAATGCACCTGAGCCTAAATTGATATTGTGCTCATACAATGCCAAAAAGTCTAAAGTTTGTGGGGGTATTTGGTACAATTGGTGGGGTTTAACTTTCACTCCTAAATGATCAGTTTTATAGTTACGCGAAACTCATTATACTCGTGTTCCAAACTTGGTAACAGGCGAGATATGGACCTTTTGTTTGTTACTTCTTGGTCCTATATGGTGCACAAGCATTCCAATATTCTCTTCTTATCAGCAATCTGGGACGAGGAGTCTATCGGTGACATGATTTTGAGAAGACATTTCGCATGATATTAAAAGGGTAAGGCAAAAGAATCCCTGCTGTATTTTGACCTGTGGTGTTTATTTCCTAATTTGTGTGCTAGTTAAAGAAATATAAGTTGTATGCTCCTTGAAGGCACATAGGTCGAGTTATTTTTGAAGTTTTCAATCATGTAGAGATTTTTGTTGACGGGTGGGTTAGAATACTTCTGCAGTCTTAATAATAATAATATTTTGATTTATTAAAAAAATTTTAAACTTTTTTTTTAAATTTTTAATAAAAACATAGTACTAAATAATTATTGGTCATGTCAACTCCTTATAATAGAAAAACCATTTTTTTTATAAGGATAATGATTAGGAAGTTAGTATAAATTAGTTGTTAGCAACTGGAATTTTTAGAATAGTAAACATTTCATCCCCTCAAATGAGGTGCGCGACGATTAGACCGTAAATTGGTGAAATTCACAACGATAGTAAAATTCAAAGTCCTGACCTACACCTCACCCAAACCCTAAGGTTTGGGGGCGAACCATTAAGTCTCAAGTTCGGTTCGCAAAACACCATTTTGTTAAATTCGTAATCATTTGATGTGAGGGTACATTTGTAAATTAGTTTATAATATGTCTGATAGTTGTTTTTTTCTTTTTTTCTTTTTTTGGTAAATGGGGATGATATCATTAAACCAACACAAAACGGAATACACTAGTTGTTCTTGGGAAATTCATATCCCATAATATCCAAAATACATAAAAGTTTGACATTAACAGTACAGTGAAGAAGAACAACAAAATCCTGCAACTATCAGACATATAATAAACTAATTTACAAATGTACCCTCACATCAAATGATTACGTACACATCACTTGCACGAACTATTTAACAAAATGGTTTTTCTATGATAAGGAGTTAGTTGTTTACCATCGTTGTCTTTCATCTTATGAAATACTTTAAGACCTGTTTGGTTCCCTTTCATGTTAGAAAGTTTTGTGGGGTTAGATTATTTTGCATAGTTAGATTATGCTACGGGGGAAAGTTATACAATTTTTTTGTGTTTATTTGTGTTATCTAACACGTGATAAATGAAATGACGAATCATTTATTTTGTTTAAAATAAAATAAATTTCTCTGACGATCTTCTCTTTTTTTCCAAGCATGGAACTTAGCTTGTGAGTTTATGAAAGAACATCATAAATTGCATCTTAATAATCAGATGGTTGGCAAAAATGATAGATGAACTTCTTACACTAAATGAGGTTATACAACAAAATACTTTAGATATGATTCTAAGGACTCCTCCAAACTTATTTTCTTAAAAATCCTCTAGTTGCCTCGTACATGTGAAATATGGGTGTGGACGTGCCACTTACTTTGCTGAAGTAAGAAATGAGGACTTTACCAACGACTTTCTCCTTCCTCACAGTTGACCTCCTTATAAATGGCGGGAAGAACGTTAGATTAAAATTGCAATTTGCGCCTACAAATAATTTGCAAGAGGGATGGATAACCTCTTGCAGAATGGGTTACGAAATCCGCTTTAAACAACTTTAAGGATTTAAACACTACTGTGAATTAAAGTTAACAAATCTTAATTAAACTAAATAGCATGTAATTTAAAGTAAATTTACGAGAACAAGATGTACCTAAAATAAATTAAACATGTTCATTGTTAAATTAAAATATTATCTACTGATAGATTTAGAAATTAAACTACTGTAGAACTGAAGATTCTACCATAATTAAAACTAAACAAACATGAACAGAAATTAAATTAACATGCCTGAAGTTGAAAAAAAGCGTAAACGCCATATAAATAATTATTAATAAAATACTACTTATCATAAACATTAAATTAATTGCAAACAGAAAAGGAACAATATTTTGAATAAATTTAAAAGATTGAAGTTCATTGCATGAAACAAAATTATTGAAGTAGATATATGAATTAGTTTTTCTATTGAAATGATGAAAAATAATCTAGATTTACTGAAAATTGTGCTGAAATCCGAAATCTGAAAGTAATTGCAGAAAAATTGAAAGTCTGAAAATTTACAGATGTTTGAGTAGGACTGACCATGTGTTTTCCTTTTCAAAATTTCCTTTTTATTCTCCTTTGGCCGACAATAACTCTCCACTTTCTGCAATTACAAAATTGTGGGTGATTTCTTGAGATAGTGAGATAGTTTAACAGTTGACAAGGTTAGATTTCCTTCTAGATTTTCACCACCTGGTTTTCATAAACAGTTGAGCTGGACAGAGACGCTCAGATGTATTCAAAGAAATGGAGTAAGGAGGAAGAAGAGAGATAGAGAGAGAAAAAGTACCGTGCTTGAGCATTTTGAGGAGGGCGAGAGAGGAGATGTAGACCTGCTCCGATGAATCAAGAGTCGGCCAATCCGGCGGTGGCTGGCCACCCAAAGCGCCTCCAGCACCGGCAAACATCCACTGCAATCTCTCCATCCCTGACATTAGCTCGGACTCTCAAGATCGCCGATCGGAGTTTTCAGCGGTTTTCCTCAGCAGCAAGACAGACGACGATTATGCTCGGAGTTCGATTGATGTATCTGTCCTTGCTCTATTAATAATAAGTTCAGGGCCTCAGGCTATAAAACGATTTTTCATTATGTGGTCCGGCCCAGTTAAATATTTGGGCCTTTTTACAAACTTAGCCCGTATAAGAGGGCTTGTTACGCTTATTACCCTTTTGGGCCTTCCCCAATT